CACAGTCTGCCTCCCTTCCCACTCTCTAGCTCTTCCAGTTCCTACCTATTTCATTCTCTCCTCATGCCAGCTGCACTGGCTCCCCAGCCCCCTACCCAGAAGCTGCTGACTCACATCCTCTCTCCAGACACCACCTTCTTTTGGCCTGGCTCCCTGCAAAGTGCTTCATGACTTAGTGTGTCTCAGCCAGAGCCTGCAGGTGCAGGCAGTCAGGCTCCAAAATCCCATGTGAAGTCCCTCCAAGGAAGCAACAGTGATTCTTCCAAAAGATACTTTCTCCCTTGGCAACGTGCTGAGGGCTGGAGCTGTATTGCCACCATAAACCCAAACCTTGTCCTTGCTGCCACCAGCTCTCTGGTGCCCATCAGGGACGGCCAGGGAGAGTGTTCTGATGCCACTGCTGCCCAGATGTACATTGAGACCTTGGTGTGGACTTTGCTGAGGGCAGGAGCTGAGTAGCAGGAAGACTGGATTAATGCACTAATTCCAGATTATGCTCTAATGCAGGACTTCTGGTGAGAGAGCAGGCCCTGTTCCCAGGGGACACTCACTCCCTGGGGCAGACTCCCCATATCTGCCCTGGGTCACAGCTTGGTTCTGCCTGGCTGTCCCCTAAGGAGCTAAGTCCTCAGAAGTGAGGAAGGACTGTGAGAGAGACAGGGGACACAGCACAGGGAAACCTCCATGCTCAGCTCTCAGTGAGCTGGAGGTAATGACCCAGACTATGCAGCCCTGGACTTCTGCTTTTCCAGGCTCTGTGGCAGAAGGATAAACCATCACAGCAGGGCTCCAAGGTAGCCAGTTCCCTTTCCTCACCTGCCCCAGCTTCCTGGCACAGAGCTGTCCCCAGTCTGTGCTCCTCCTTCCCAAATACATCACCCAGGCAAGACCACAAGCCATGCTTTGGCTACAATGGAGCCAAGCTGTTTGTCATCCCACCTCCCTCAGTCTCATGCCTGCCCCTGGGCCACCCTAGGCACAGGCAGAGCTCTTGCAGGTTTCCATCCAACCTGGATGTGTCTTCCATCAGATGAGACCCTGTGGCAGCATCCTGCCCCTCCCTGAGTACAAAAAAATATCTCATCAGCCAGTTTAGTCTGGGACCCGTCATACTCTCTCTGCCAATTGTTACCACCTCCCCAGGTCATTTTGCCCATGTGCTCCCCCACAGGCACCCCATTAGCAGCTGTGATTGAAGCCCCATGGAGCAGGGAGGCGACCAGAGACCTGCACCCACAAGCCATCCCCTTTTCAGCAGAGTAGCAACAGCCCAAAGCTGCAATGGAGCCAGTGTTTGAGGAGCTCCCACAGAGGCAGAAGAGACACCTCCCACGTCCATCTGCCTCGAGGAACATGTTATTCATCATCCTTGCAGGCAAATGGGGAAAGGCTTGTGCAGAAAGCTGGGCCAAGGCAGGTCCTTCACCAGCCATGCAGGTGCTAGGTCTGCATCATCCAGAACATTTTTCTCCCATGGAACATCTCCAAGTCATTCTGGGGGATGATGACAACTCTTAATAGCAAAAAAACAACTTGCCTGCTGTTTGTCGGCAGGAAGAGGCATGGCTTGCCAAGCTGGCTGCTCCAGCTGCCTGTCACCTCTCCATGCTCCCCTGCCATAGCCAGCTCATCTAGCCCATGGAGTTTACTCCACAGACAGGGCAGTCAGGCAAGGAAAGTCCCATAGAGCTTTTCCCATGATTCTAGGTAGAAACTCCCTTCTTCACCTGTGACTATGCATCCTTGGGATCCACTGCCACCCAGCGTGCATCTAAGAGCCCCGTGCACCTATGGGAAGGAAGATAAGGGGTGCTTTGGCCTGAGAAGAGACCTCCTTGGGGCAGGAGGGGCTGAACCCACTGCAGGCTGCAGTGCCCACCTCTGCTGCTGCAATATGGAGCCAACGGGGCACCCACTGTGAGGCACGGAAAGGAGACGTGTTGTTGCTGGAGCAATTTAAAACTAGGAAAGTACTGAGATCCCTCACGTGGATCCCTGCAGTGACTGATCACTGATTTGGCCCTGTTGCTCTACCTCTGAGTCCCAAACCCAATGTGAATCCTCCCATCCCTGCAAATCCAGACACTGCTGGGCCCTGTGGCTGGCAGCACAGGGGCTGCCCAGCCCCCCCTGAGAGGGTCTCAGTCCCTCACTGCTCCTCAGAGAGCACTGGCAGCTGCAGGGATCATAAGTTTTGAGCTCTATCCATTCCCCTTGATGCTGTCCAATAGCTGGCTCCTGAGTCCAGACCATCAATCATGCAGAAGCACAGGAGACTGGCATGTCAAATCACTGTTTTAAAAAGGGAAAAACCAAATTCCCTAGCCTGAGATTCTCATCATCAGTACCCAGCCCTGCCTGTGTTCTCTCACATATCTCCTTTGCCTTGGGGGGAGCAGAAATCTCCCAGACATGGTAAGATTAGTGCTACCCCTGCCTCACTCCCCCCAGCAGCTCTACAAAGTCCTCTGGGGTATGGAAAAACCAGACATGTCTCCCTCCCTCCCTCCCTCCCAGCCAGTAAGGCTCTGGCTGAGCCAATGATGCATATTTAAATGCACGGGAGCATCTAAGCTCCTCTCTCATTCCTTGACATTTCCAGAGACTCCAAGCTGTCTTCAATTACCAGTCTGCAATTAGCTCTTCCTAAATCCCCCAGTGAGGTCTAGGACTCTTAATCAATGAAATACAAGGGAGGAAGGGGAGGACATGGCCTCACTGCAGCTGGGCCTTGAAGCTGGAACCCTGTGAGTGTCTCTAAGGAGATCTGTAGGGTGGGAAAATCCTCCAGTGCTGGGAGGTTGTTCAGCTCTGGAGAGGAGCTATTCCCCCTACAGCTGTGAATAGAGATCACTGGACAAACACCACAGTTCAGGATGGAAATAGCTGGTACCAGTGGCTCACATGTTACCCTGTGATGGAGCAGACCACCTTGCTGTATTCATCTCACCACGCCTCAGTTTCCCTTTCTGCAAAACACTGATATGGGAGAGTCAGGGCTCTCCCAGTAGCCCCAATGGCTCTATAAGGCTCTAATTTCACCACTTTAGGCAAAAGTTACCTTTCTCATGACAAGATGTGGATATGGCCCAAGTTGGGGTGGGTCGTGAATGCCTTGTGGCACAGAGACCTCACCACAAGGTCACATGAATGTCAGTCTAAAGGCACGGACAAGAGCATCTATTAGGAGAGGGAGGACGGGAGCAGCCTTGGTCTTGTTGGGTTTACAAAGCCATGGAAAAGCCTTGCACAGCACCCTGCCAGGTCAGCCCCCGTCACAGGGACATCTGTGCTGTCTTCCTGGCAGCACAGCTTTGCCTGAATGAGCCAGATTGGGCCTAATTAGCAGCTCTGCTGATGCACACAAAGGTAGAGAGAATCCAGCTTACCCTCCATGACCTGCAGAGCCAGCACAGCTCTTCCCAGTGGAGGGGAGCCAGAATGCCTGGCTCAAAGGGGCTGTGAAGCACTGGATGCAGACCCCAACCAGAGAGCATGTGTGGCAGCTTCTGCTAAAGAAGTCCTGGCAAATTCAGTGCCTTGAAGCATAGCAACCAGTTTTTAAAAGGCAAAGCTTTCCCATTCTCCACCCCTCTCCCTGGAGGTCTGCAGAAGCACAGGGCTGGTAACAGGGAGAACAGCACAGCTCCCACAGCCTGTTGTTGCCAGAAAAAAGGGAGCCCAGCCCTGCAGAGTTGAGGGACACAAAGAGATAGGGAGGGATGAGGTGAGGGAGGGCATAGCTCCAGGAAAAAAATAACACTAAATTAAAAAAATTGAAGTGACATGAACTGTGGCATCCTGTTTAAATTCAGTGTGGTAGACAGGCATCAGGAATTTCATCTGGAATGAAGGAGGTCAAGAGAGCTCACAAGGGTCCAAGAGACACTCAGGTGGACCAGAACTGGCCTTGGGCACAAAGAGGGATAAAAATTTGACCTCCAACTCACACTAGGGGGTAAAACCCCGCTTCAGAACCAGGGCCCCCCATCCCTCTTGGGGAGGAGTGGGTCGTGACCAGGAGCTTAGGGTGCTACCCCAATTGCCCTTGCACCCCACAGCCCAGCAAGTTCAGGAGCCACCACCAGGCCCATCCAGGCCACCTCTTTATTCTCCAGTGAAGCAAAGCAAGAGGAGAGGAGACCCCTCCCCTCCCATAGCAAGCCCCCTCCGTTTGGGCACCCTAGGCCTTCTCTGGCACAGACCCCTCTTCCCGCAGCAAGCCAAGGGCGGGGGGAAGGTATCACCCCCTCTTTCGGGGGGCACACCGGGGGGGATTTACCCGCGGAGAGGGGCGTGGGCACCCCCTCCCAGCGGCTCGAACAAAGTGGTATGGGGGCGGCTCCCGCGGGGTGAGGGGCAGAGTCGCCCATGCTGGGGGGGGCCATATACCACACGTGGGAGGGGGGAGTGGGGGAAAGGCATCGCTCGCAACACAGAAACCCCCCCCAGCCTTGCCCGCAATCCCCGCCTTTGTCTGCTCAGGCGCGGCAGCTCCAGCACCACGGACAGCACCGGGAGCGTTGCGGAGGTGCGGAGCGGCCCTACCCTCGCCGGGGTACTCATTCACATGCATCCTCTACTTGGGGCACCCGCCACAACCCAAAACACCCCCCCGAGCCCTCCTGCCCCCGACCCTTACATCCATTTTTTTCACCCCCTTCTTCTAGAGAAAACGCATTCAGGAGCCTCCGCTCCTCCGCAGCCTCCCCCTCCCCCTCTTCGCGAAGGGGGGAGGGACACCACTCCCCCTCCTCGGTCTTCACCGCCGCCTCGGTGTTCCGGAGCGCAGCCCCCAGCTGGGGTCGGAGGCGGGGAAGGAGGGCAGCCGGATCCGGAGCAGGGAGGGTCCAAGCAGCGTCTCCATGGAACTGACGGCTGGGGAAGGAGGAAGGCGAGGAGGATGCGGGGGCAGGGGGGGGAATCCGACAGTCCCTCGCCTCCCCCGCCCCTCGGTGCGTGGCCCCTTCCGCCCCTGGCGCCGGGGGCCTGGTACCTCCCTAGCGGTCCAGGCTGATCGTCCAGTGCTTGGACCCGTCTCCGCCCTCGCCCTCGCTCTTGAGGTCCTGGAAGAGTTGCGTGAAGTAGTGCGGGTCCGCGTTGATTCGCAGCATCTTGGCGCTGAGGCGCTGGATGATGCCCAGGCAGCGCTCCCAGAAGCGCCCCTTGTCTCCCTCCACCAGGAAAGGCTTGAGCGGGTAGGAGATCTCGTTGCCCATGTAGGAGTAGGCGAGATAGAGGCAAGTGAGGAAGGCGGCCTGCAGCTCGGCCTGGCTCCCGATGTCTTCGCCCCGCAGCGCTTCCCGGCACAGCAGGTAGACGAACACCAGGTTGGCCGGGGTGATGAAGCCCTGGTCCTGCCAGCCCTGCAGCAGCAGCGAGCGGTCCACGCTGCGAAACCACGAGATGAGTTCGCCGGGGCTCAGCTCCTTCAGGCGGTAGCAGCGGCGGCACACGAAGTCCCCCAAGCAGCGCAGCAGCTCTCCGGTGGAAGCCTGCACCACCACGCGGCGCGGAGACCCCGCGGGGCGGCTGCCGGCTGGCGGCGGTGGCGGCTTTCCACCGCCGGAGCCCGGGTGCAGCTCCTGCGGCGCCGAGGGCACTGTGGGCACCGGCACGGCTAGCGGGCCCTGCTTAGCGCCGTCGGCCGGCCCCACCACCGACTTGCGCAAGTTCTCGCGGTTGCGCTGCACCACCAGCGGGTCGGGCTGACCCGGGGCCCCCGCCGGGGCTCCGCCACCGGGTTTCGGCGTCACCTTCTTGGTGCTCTTCTTCTTCTTAGCCGAGGCGGCCACCAGCCGCTTCCAGGTTAGCGCCGAGATGAGCACTCCGGGGCGTTTCAGCCGGCTCTCGCCCTTGCCCGGGACCCTTCCCGGCGCCTTCTCGGCCAGCAGCCCCCCGCCGCCGCCGCCCTTGCCCGAGGAGGCGGCGGGGGAGAGGGAGAGCACCGTGCCCATGCTAACGCCGAGCGGGACGGGCGTGCGGGGGCTGGGGCGCCGGCACCGCCCATATGAGGCCGGGAGCTGCGGGGGAGGCGGCCCACACCGGGGCCGCGGTGCCCGAAGATGCTCCGCCGCGCCCGCTCTGGGCTCCGCGCCCGCCGCTGCAGCCAGCCGCGGCCCCGCCGCTCTCCTCCTCCCCCCACCTCCCCGCCGACAGCCAATCGCCGCCGCACGGGTCCCCGGTGCGCCCGCCCCTCGCCGGTGGGTGGCGAGGGGGGAGAACGCGGCGCGGTTTTGCCCGGCGGCCGCCGCCCCGGCGTGACCTTCAGCGATGGGGGGCTCGTTCGATGCGCCCGCCGGGGCGGACGGGCTGGGACCTGCTATGCCGTCACAGCCCCCCAGCCCTTTGTGTGGGAGACGTGGGGGGGAGCCCAGAGGACAGGGGGTACGGGAAGGGTCTAGGGAGGGCTTCTGAATTCGGCTGTTCTTGCCAAGTCCTGCTCTGTTGTCTCACCTACAAGCGGAGGGATGAACCTTCCCAGACCAGCAGAGCCCCCTGGCCCAGTGGTGCTAGGGGTACACCGTGGGGAAGAAGAACCTTTGAAAATGCTAGAGGAAAGGCTGAGGAGGCATGATGATCAAGAAGAACGGGTGCTCAGAGGGTGGCTAGAAAAGGCTTGGGGTGGGTGCAAGGCTGGCTGTGACTCGGCCACCAACATGGAAGGTTTAGGTTTGGTGGCCGAGCCTCATGTCTCCTGAGAACCAGCCCAGCCCTGGGCATGGCTCCACAGGGAGTCAGAAGGTGCCACGGGGGAGCACTCCCATGACCTGCTGTGCAAGCGTGGGGTCCTTCACCCACCCTCCCTCTTCCCGCTCAGCTGTGTAAGGGAGATTTACCACCGGACTGACAGTCACCATTATCAGGCCGAAGTCAGGGACCTCGGAGAAACGGGATGATACCACTGCCGTGTTCCCAAGGCAAGACTTGCCAGTTCTGCCACCCAAATCTCCCAGACCCGCAGGGAAGGAGGGGAGAGAAGAGATGCTGCACTTCTGCATCACTGCAAATGGTGAGCCATAAACCAGCCACGTGCATGAGCACAGATGCTGCTTCTCCCTCTATGGATCAGAGCACGCCATAGATGTTGCTGCCTCTCTGCTCCATGCAGGAAGATTCCCCTTGTATTTCTCATGAGCTGCAGGCCTGATTTTTATGATGGGTGCCAGGCATCCATTAAGAGCAAAACATCCCAATTGTAGGGACTGCTCCCACAAGTGAAGCACTGGGAGAGGCAGCTGGAAAAGGTTTCAGGGAGAATGTCTCAAGGATGCATTTTGATACAGCATTTTATGTGTGAAATGAACACATCGTTGCCAGGATGTAGCTGTTGCCGGATGGATCCAGGCTAACAGGCAGTAATGAATTATCAACTGGGAGGAGCTAGACCAGCCCACCCTCTCCCCTCCCCACTTCCTCTTGCACTGCTGATGCTGGACGTGTTTGCAAAGAAAGTGCAGGCTCAGGGCCATGTTTCAGCCTTCTAGACTGGCCTCCTGATGCTTAGGGCTCACTTGCCCCTTGGGGGTAGGGGAGAGGCTATGCCCTCTGGCCTATGGCAGGGAAGAAGAGCAAAGTCTCATTCCCACATATCCTGCACTGTGGTCAGCTGTCATCCCTGCAACGGCATCTGCAAGGAGCAAGCACACAGACCCTCAGATACAGAGGTTTGCTTTGGGAGTGGCCAGAACCAAAGTGGATCTGGGCCAGCACTACCTACTCAAGGCCAGCTTAGGCTGGGCTGAAGTAACCATGAGGATTTGGTAAAGGAGTATAAATACAGAGGAAGAAAATCAGGACAAGGTTCCTGATGATAATTAAGTGAACACCTTTAGATATGCACAGCTGGTTTCAACCTAGCCAAGAAGATGGAGGAGCCCTAGAGATGGGATAGGAAGGACCTTGTCTTTGCTCTCTTTGTGTGTTCAAGGGTTTTCTGGTGTGCACATGTGGTCTCATCAGAAACCCGTAGCTGAATTTTTCAGGTGAGGAAGCAGAGACCTTTCTGCATACTACTTGCTTCTGCTGCAGTAAAATTGCTCCCGGAGAGCTTCACTTGAAGCCTCCCCCACATTGTGTGAGCTCTCCCAAACTGGCTTCCCAGAACTCATTCATAAAGGTTATTTCTATTTGGCAGTGGTGAGCTGGACTTCACAGCAGAGGCCAGAGAGTTCCCCAGCCCTGGCTGGGCTTGTGGTTGCTGCACCACTCTGCTCAGTGCGTGCACCTCCTACCACTCCCAAGAGGGGACATTTGGCTGAAGCCTCTTTAAAAATCCAGCTCAAGGCCTCAGCTATGAGCAAAAGAGCTCCAGGGCATTATTCCCTTCCTGCTTGCAGCTTGTGTCCTGCTGCGGCAGCAGCTCTGGGTTAGAGGAGGTCAGCGGGACCCTAGTCCCTCTCCAAGACAGCATTGCTGGCAGTGGCAAGACCTTCCTGCAAGCACTATGGAATTACCCAAGCCCACAAGAACAGCAGGATGTTTCTTATCTGGGTAAAGAAGCAGCTTTGCAGCTTACATGGGAGGCAGCTGCATTTCCATGTGAAAGAGGAGGATCTTTTTCCCCACTCCTTAGTTTTATTCTTCAGGCTCAGTCCCTGAGGCTGGCAGGCAATGATAGAGCACAAGCTACACCATTGAGACCATCTCTTCCTGGACTCTTTCTTGTTCAGCTGATAGGGGAAGGCACAAAGCAGGGGACAAGGGCAGCATTTCCCTTCCCCTAGGAATTTGGTTTCCTACCTCAGGCAGCAGGAATGACATGCCTCTAGATGAAAGGGAGGAATGAGGTAAATCTTTAGGCACAGTCAGTCTCAAAGCTCTCAGACTTCTGCCCTTGTCTAAATATTCTGGTATTGGTGGGGTGGATTTGCAGGGACACTGTTGGCGTACACAGATCCTCTGTGACTAAGGGTCATTCTAGAAGGGCAACATATACTTCAGTGACCTGCTAGCACCAACAAAGGGATGCTTTCTTGTCCAAGACTCTCATCTGAGCCATGTAAAGGGGTATCCCTGTCCTGAATCAGGAGTGTTCAAGATGGAAAGTTGGAACACTCTGGTTCCCAGCGCATCTGACAGGGCTCTAGGGATGGAGACAGGTGGGAAGACAGCAGCACCAGGAGAGAGAAGCTGATGTAAAACCAGTACTGTAGGCAGTACTGTAAAAATTCTTTGAGAGAGCTAACTGACCTGCAGGATCCACACAGTTCCCTGCAGGTGCCTGGCAGTCTCTCGCTCTGCTTCACCTGACCTGAGCCTCCCACTACATAGAGTTGTGCAGCTTTGTCTGCCTGGTTCAGGTGGGAGCAGCTCAGGCCTTGGCTAAGCTCGTGCCAACTGTCGCATCCTCTCCAAACCATCTCTGGCATAATGTTCCCATGCTGGGGCTCTGGCTCAGAAATGCATAAGCTCTCATCCTGGGACAGGGCAGCTCTCCCAGCACCCCCCACGACATAAAAGGCGTTTTGGAGGGTCCAGAGCCCCCTAGTCAGCTTCCAGGCTACTGAGCTATTGGACACAGGCTTTGTGATGAGCCCTGGCTTAAAGCAGTTGGCATGTCCCCCTGCCTGCTCCAGAATGATGAATGGGCATGTGTTTGCTGGCTGGCTAGAGCTGTTCTTTAATAGCTCACTTGCTGTGCCGTGGTCTGTCTGTACTGGCAAAGGCAGGCAGGGAAAGAACAGTCTCCCTGGCAGCAGCTGACCAGCCAGCTCCTGCACTGCTTCACCCGTGGAGACAGAGCTCAGTCTCAGTGCATCTCAGTGAGAGGGTCTGACAGCCCTGATGCTCCCCCTCTCTAGGCCGCACAGCAGACAGATTCCAGCAGAAGTCCTGCCTGTGTTGGGAGCCCTGGGGCTGAGAAGCCTCAGAGGAGCTGGCTGGCAGGATATCTGCAGTGCCCAGGGAGGAGAACTGGCTTGTTCTTCTGAGCACCCCAGCCCAGGCATCTCTCCTTTTCCATTCTTGATTACCTTCCACCTGTCTCCTGTCCCCATCCCAGCCCTCAAGGGCAGGGGGCTACAGCTGGGGGTCCACCAAAGCCTACCCTGCAATACCTGCTTAGTGTGCCTACCTACAGTGGCTGAAGAAGCTTGTGCAGTCCCTGCTCCACAGTCGGCCCTGGATTCACACAGCAGAGTGAAGCAGAGCACAGTCAAGTCGAGCAGCCCTGTTGCAGTCCCTGGAGAGAAGCTATTTTTGTCCTGCCATTTGCTGAACGGTGGTGATGGAAATGGCTCAGAGAGCTGGAGAAATGCAGCTTCTCTGGGTGGAAAACATGCAAGGCAGAGGCGGGCTTGAATCCAGATGAAATCATATCTCTGCTTCCTATTCTATGGGCAGAGAGATAGGCCCTGGCACTGGGATGCTGGAGGGAGAAGCAAGGCGGTCCTTGCTGACATGGGGGTGAGGATGTCGATTGATTGCCACCAAGGCGATGCTTCCAGCCCACATCCCTCACAGAATTGCTGCCACTAAAGCCCTTAGGGAAGAAGCTGTAAGCGCTGAGTGGAACAGGAAGGAATAACTGGGAAGTACCAAGTATCGCCATGGGCTGCTTAAATGCCTGCCAGCACATCTGTAAGGTCTTGTGGCAGGAGAGCCGCAGGGAGACAGAGGTTGATGAAGGGCTAATTATCCACCCTGCAACCAATCCAGGCTCCATCAGGAGACCCCCTTCCAGCCCAGCACGGGGAGGTGACGGTGGTCTCTGCGCTGTAGCCCCCGAATGGATGAGGCGGAGCTGGGCGAGCCCGGGCGCGGTGGCGGCTCCGGGGGGCTCGGGGGTGGCCCGGGCCGGGGCTGGGCTGCCCTCTCGCGGTGCAGCGCTGCTCGGGTCCCCTCGCCATCTCCAGGATGTGTCTCCAGCGGCTGTGTGTCCAGCCCATCACCATAATTCCTTGCCTCCCTCCGCCCTCTCCGCTTTGGGGATACAGGCTGTCAGGGGCGCTGGCATAGCTGTGGGAACATTCCGCGGCTCTGAAGGAAAGCGTCTGGTTGCCCATTTGGTGACTGTGATTCCTCCCTGCTGTCCGTCACCTGCGAAGACCCAGCACCTCCCAACCCACTAGAAGCTCGGAGAGTGTCTGGGGTTTCCTGGCAGTGAAACGACTATGGGTGAGCGGCTGAGGACTGTGCTGGGATGGAAGGGATGCCACGGGACGTTGTGTGGACGGAGAATCCTGGAGGAAGAGGCCAAAGGGAAGCATGGGGCAACGAAAGCATCTGTGCAAGTATCTTCCTTGGCGTTCAGCAAAGATTTATCCAGGATCATGATGCCGGGTGTTGAGCCCAAGACCCCTGATTTCTAGGTGAGAGTAGTTCCCACCCCTCCCTGGTTGGCAG